CGGCGGTGCCCGGACTGGGGCCGGAGGAGGCGGAGAGGACGGGGCTGAGTTTCCTCCGGCGGAGCCGCCCCCCTCCCCCTCGGAGCCCTTTCCGCGCCCGGGACAAGCCGAGCAAGAAAGCTGGCACCGGCGGGGGGCGGAGGAGGGGGCCTGTCTTTCTCGCTGACCACCCGCACCCCCCCTGGGCCACTCACCCTGGCCAGGAGGGGACATGAGAAGAGCCCTCATTTCAGGGGAGATGGGCTCAGGAGCACTCCGGCGGAGCCGCCCCCCTCCCCCTCGGAGCCCTTTCCGCGCCCGGGACAAGCCGAGCAAGAAAGCTGGCACCGGCGGGGGGCGGAGGAGGGGGCCTGTCTTTCTCGCTGACCACCCGCACCCCCCCTGGGCCACTCACCCTGGCCAGGAGGGGACATGAGAAGAGCCCTCATTTCAGGGGAGATGGGCTCAGGAGCAAGGACCTTCTCTCTCTCTCTCTCAAGTGGGGTTTGTAGTTAGAACAGTCCAGTAAAACTTGGGTGGAAGATCAGAAGCAGGAATTCAGAGGCAAATAAAAGAGAACATGTATTTGTTTTCTTGCTTGTTGGGTCAGAGAGGTTTCGTGGTGACAAGGTTGGAAAAGAACTTAAGAGAGCAGGGTTCAAATGGCCCCTCCACCATGGAAGTCATGGGAGTGACCTTGATCTACTTCACAGGATTGTTAGGAGGAAATGATGGACGGGGTGGGGTGGGGTGGGGAGGAAGCTATGTAGGCCTCCCGAAGCTCCCTGAGGGGGAGGGATCAACATAGCCAACGAATAAACAATATCTGTCCAAAAAAATAATCAAGGCAGCTTACTGGATTTGAAAACCAGAAGGAATAGAAAGTATAGCATTTTAAAAAAAAGTGCACAAGTTAAAACACAATAGTATTGAAAACAATTGTAAGAGTGTGTCAAAAACCACTGCATCCCACACGTGCTAAAAGCCCTGTGGCAAGACTTCCCGTTCTGCGTGTGAGAATTGAAACCCAGCTGGAGCAGTTGAAAAACCTGTATAAAAAATTTGTCACCCGCCAGTGCAAAGGTCTAGCTCAGCAGCCAGGCAGACGGCCGAAGGTTTTCCTGAATCAAGCAAGGCTTCCTTCAGTTGGCGGCTGAAACATTTCTATCCCACTCTGTAGCCATAAATCTTAGGGTAGGAGTCCTCCAGTAAAATGACCTTAAATGAATATAAAACAGCCACAAAATTATGCTTAAAATTATGTTAGAACAATTCAACCATTCAAATTGAAATTGGAGACCAAGCTGTGATCTTACCCATGTGTGTCTTTGTGCTGTCAAGTCGGAACCAACTTTTGGTGACCTTAATAGGGCTTTCAAGGCAAGCGAGATATTAAAGGAGTGATTTTATCATTTCCGCTCCCCCACCCCCATGGGCTTCTAGGGCCAAGTGGGGATTCCAGCCCTCTTCTCCAGAGTCCTAGTTTATCACTCTGTCTAGTACACCACACTTTATAGCTGTTTATTTAAAAAAATTTGCTGTTTGGCTTCAGACAGTGCAGAATCTTTGGTTCCCCACGCGGCCTCTGCCCAACCGTGTGGGGACTTGGTCCTGACTGTCTCTCTCCTCCTCCTCCTCCTCCTCCCAGGAAGATGCTGGCCAAAGGCGTGAAGAGGAAGCGGAGTGAAGAGGAGGCCGATCCCCCCTCCAGCTCTCTCTTCAGCCTCTCCGTCTCCAAGCTCCACCAGAGCCTGCAACGCATCGAGCCCAACCTCCGGCGCCTGGTGCTGGTCGCCAACACGCTCCGGCGCCTCCAAGGCGAGATGCAGCCAGTCCCGCTGGTCCTCAACGAGGCAGCCCTGCCTGCTGTCGAAGCCAGCTCCGTCTCCCGGCACTGCACGGGTGGTGTCCCTGCCTGCACTCTTTCGGACACTTGCAGAAGTCCCCTCCCCTCCCCTTCTCCCGCCTCCCACGTGGATGAACTCCTGTTCTCCAGTATGGACCTCTCTGTCTTCTCCACCCTTCTGGAGGACTTGAATGCCACAGAGGGCTTGGGGGACTCCCTGAGCCCTTCCCTCGTGCAGCCGGAAGGTTTGTTCAGTCCAGAGTCCGCACGGACATCCCCCCCAGGCCCTCCCACCCCACTGGAGATTCTGGGCCCTGGTGGCTACCTCCTGGAAGATGGCCTGGAGGACATTTTTGAGGACATTGACACCTCCATGTATGACTCCAACTTCTGGTCACCCATCAGCCTTCCTGGCCTCAAGGAGGGCTCCTCTAGCCCTGTGCAGGAGAGGTCCGATCTAGCCGACCTTGATTATCTCATGGACATTCTTGTGGAAGCTCAGGAGCTGTGATGGAGGGGGTGACTCTGTGTGTGTGTCTGTGTGTGTGTGTGTGTGTCTGTGTAGAGGAACGGTTCAATTTTGCAGTGGAGCATGTGCATGGAATCCTATGAGATACAGCCATCCTGGGATTAGGGGTTCACGAGTGTTGAATGCTGGAAATGGGTGTAAAGGAAGGGGCAGCCAGTGTCCCTCATGAAGTTGCCACCATGTGTGGCGGAGTGCCTGCATCCCATCTTCTCTAGAGGTGTTCCTTTCTCATGTGAGAAAATACCACCCAACAAAACCAAGCAAACACACCCAGTTTCCAATCCTTCTGCCTCTACTGTGCTACAACCCTACTGCCTTAAGCATCAGAGTCCCTGAAGAAACAGGACAGGGCTGGGTAAAAACAAGTAATCAACATGCTTCTAAATGGCTTTTTGGAGAGAAGGAAGGAAGGAAGGAAGGAAGGAAGGAAGGAAGGAAGGAAGGAAGGAAGATAGATTCGTCCTTGACTGCTGTCCCCAGCTTCTCCCTCATCTCAAATTGCAGGGAAGTCTGAGTGAAGAACGTAGACATGCTTATGAAACATGTGCACACAAAGTTTGTGCATTCAGACTCTACCTGGGAGGAAGAGTGCTACCTCTTGCAAGGCGAATGCTCGTGCAACTAAGAAGCATACTTCTAATTTACTGTATGAATGCCAACGACCTCCTCTTTCTTTCTTTCTTTCTTTCTTTCTTTCTTTCTTTCTTTCTTTCTTTCTTTCTTTCTTTCTTTCTTTCTTTCTTTCTTTCTTTCTTTCTTTCTTTAAGACAAGCCATGTATTGTTAAACTGCCTTTGAAATGACCAAATACAGTATATAAATGTTGGAAAAGAACATGGGGTGCTTTACTTGCAATTAGAAACCTCAAGACGACTTCAGCTGGGACAGATCCTTGGGTCACTTCCAGTTCCAGAACCACCTCTCCCATTGGACCTACTTTTAAATATTCACACTTTGCATTGGGGCAGGGTGGGGGAGACTTCAGTGCCTCTAGGGTGAATTTTCCATCTCCAGAATTCACCCAAAATGCAAAGAAAAATTAAAAAGTTTTGAAAACTGGTAATGTTGGTGTTAATTGGGATTGCAACCTGTTAAGAAGGCAAATCCATCACCTCGGAGTCTTCCAGGAGCAGCGGGCTTTGTTGTGCTGTAACAAAGCAGAGTGAGTTGTGGTGGAGGGAAAATGGGTGGGTTCTGGTTTATCCAGACAGAAAGCCGTTAAAAAGCAAAAACAGCCAACTTTCATTCAACAGTGGAAAAAATAAAAAAGGAAAATAAATTTCTAAAGTCCGCAGGACTGGAATTGGGCAATTTTGCAATTCCCTTGTTAGGATCCTCCAAAATTCTTTTGGAAGATTTTGAATCTTCCAGACGTCTTTGTCAGGGTTTAGTGATGAACTTGGAGGCACCAGGGCTCTTAGCGCTAGTCCCAATAGGTACTCTGCCCCGTAAGTAGCATCATCAATTGTAAGCAGCAGGATCAGAGTAAGTTGCCACCAATGAAGAAGTGGGCCTTTTGTAAAGGTAGTGGCTCCTAATTGCCCACTCAAAACCAAACCCCACTCAAACCCCTTGCGTTCCAACAGGAATAGCTTGCAATTGATCAGTCCATCAGTCAATAAGCTAAAAGGTACCTTGAGGCAGGTGGCAGGTGATTTCCAAGCACCCACTGTTTGACTCTGGGGGTCCCAGGTACACTACCTCCTGTATTTGGTGGTATAAAAGCACCCGTCCTGGGATGGAAGAAGCAGAAACATGCCAGCCTGGGCCGGTCTCAGGAGGGGGTTAGTCTGACTCATGCTGCTACTGAATGCTCTGGCAGGCTATAAGGCCGCGTGCTTTGCGCGAGTCCCATGACTTCGACGTCCATGGATATTAGTGTAGGAATAAAACATCCTGATTGGGACCTGCTGACCTTTATGAAGTTTGTGTTATCCCCTGGCCTCTGGCAGAGCAGACCTCCAGCTTTTGCAAGATCTGTTGAAGGCTAACTGCTGGATAGTTCTGTGGTTGAGGTCTCTTTGGCTGTGGAGCCAGGGGCTGGGAGTTCGATTCCCCCTTGGTGCCTCCTTGGCAAGGGCTGGACTGGATGATCTATAGAGTCCCTTCCAGCTCTGCACTTCCAAGGTAAGCAGAAGAATCATTCCCAGGACATCCGATCTGTTGAGCGTTCATGCTTCATGGAAGAACAAGCAACCCTTCCATGCCGAGTTTTCAAAGCATCCAGCAGAGGGCATTCCTGGGCTAAATTGATTCCTGCCGTGCCACTGTCACTCAGGTAAGATTAGTAACGTTCCCTCCCTCATAGAGGCATCATAAAAGAGCTTCAAAGTGCAATAAGGGGTTCCAGATATCCTTGTGGAGCAGCCTTATTGGAATGGAGGAACACACTCCCTAAAGGCAGTGGGAGAGACCAGTTTCCTCCATTTAATGGTGAAACAGGACATGCTGTGTGTGTGTGTGTGTGTGTGTAAGCCTCACACACAAAGAGCCAAGGAAGACCCCGTCAGCCTGACAAGGACATCTCCAGCAGCTGGGCCCCATGGCTCCCGCTTAACCCTAAGATGTCTTTGTGGGTCATCAGCCAAATGTGAGCCCACAGTGTGATGCAACTGCATAAAAGGTTAATGTTGTCTTTGGCTGCACTGGCAGAAACAGGAGCTCCAGTTCGTGGGATCCTGCCTGACATCACCCCACCGCCCTGAACCCAAAGTGACATTGTCTCGGTTTGGAAGGTAAGCAAAGTGGGGCCCAATAAGGTCCTGGATGTGGAGGACACCCCCTTCCTCCCGGAAACCCCCAGGGTCCTCCAAGGTCAGGTTTAGAAGGAATTCCAGCCTGAAGCCCTGAAACATCATCACTACCCAAGTTTGAGCTAAAGGGCCCAAGGCAACCCATACAAGGCAACGTAGGGTGTTCCATTGCCCGGTGGAGGAGCACTCAGAACGGCGAAAGGTCTGGAAGCTAAGTTCAAAGATGAACTGTGAGAAAGCGCTGGGTACCTGTAGCCGGGAGGAGAAGGGCCAAGAGGAGGCAAGACCGCAGTCTTGACATATCTGAAGGGCATTTCCATAGAACAGAGAGCGGAGCTGTCCTCCGAGGAGTCACATGGGCAGAACGTTCGTGGGGGGGGGCACACAATTGTACGGAAGAGTGAACAGGAACTTCTTATGTTGGAAGCTCTTGGATGCTGGAATAAGTTCCTTGGGAGATGGTGGGTTCATCACTGGAGCCTATTTACCTGTTGGGGGACCCTATAGTTCCAGCCCAGGGGACCGATCATGGATTGAGTCACCGGGGGTTGGACAAGGTCCTTTTCAACTCATATACAATAGTTTCTCTCTCGCCTTTATAAACTGCCCTCATCAAAGCAGGTCTGACTTCTAAATGCAGAAGTTTCCACTGTTGATACCACTACCCCTTTGCTGTCTCAGAAAGCAGTGACAAGGTGAGAGTGTGTTTGGGAGAGAAGGTCACTGTGTGCACCTTTACCACCACCACCAAACGTGGCCAAAGTCTCCCTAAATTGATTAAGTTGGCATGGGGGGGCGGGGCTGGAAAGCCATAAGAAGGTCTTTCCGCATTGAAACAGAGGAACACCTGCCCTGTTGCCAGGATCCAAGCCTTGGCCCTCAACCAGCTTTGCACCACAGGCTGGTCTGGGGTCTTGACTTGCTCTTCTCTTTCAGCCTCGCCTTTGCTGGCCAGGAGCTGTGGGGCAGGCCCACGGCTCGTCCTTCCACGGAAGCCCTCTCTTGAAGAGGATGTCTGATGTTTATCTCTGATGTTTGACTGCTGCCACAACGGGGGGGGGGGGGGAGCAGCACGTTGGGAGGGTTATTCTAACTAGGTCTCAAATATAGCTTTGGCTCCCAGTTCTATCTTTGGAACCAGCTCGCTATTCACCCTTGGCCCAGAGAGTCAGGATTTCTCTTGGCTCACTCCTCCTGAGTCTTGGAACTGACGTTTGCAATGGACGTGGTGCAAAACGGCCAAGGGGCCCTGCTCCTCCCGAGAACTGCAGGTTCTCCCTCTGAAGGCCCCGAAGAAGCTGCTTCTTTTCTGCTCTGTCTTTCGGCACACGCCCATGTCCAAGCCTTGCTTGCCAGCTGTGCTTCTCAGATGGGCCTGGCTGCCACCCATTGGACCGAAGAAGCCAAACTAGCATGAAGGTCTAAAGTTGTGGATGTTTTTAATATTGCATTTTAATAATGAAATGGGTTGCAAAATCCTACATGGTTACGACACTTGCATGTGAAAATATTTCTTTGGGGGTTTAAAGCCTTGCAACAATAAGGGAATTTGGAGTTAATGCCTGGCAAGCCGGCCAGCCCCCACGGACGGACAGACGGTCTGGGAAGCCGGTCCAAATACCTCAGTGAAAACAATCTGCTCATTTGGCTCTGTGCCAAGAGGCGAGAGACCGGGGAGCTTGCCTTTTAATTACTTGCAGGGGTGGGTTGAGGGTCCGCGCCCTCGGCCCAGGTGGAGGCTCTGGGTACAGGCAACATCCTGGGAACTGTTTAGGGGAACATGGCTCCCAACAAAGTAGCCGTCTTTGTGCAAGCGTATTAGATCAACTCACACAAACAACCTTCAGAACACAGCCTAAGAGCCCGAAAAACCCCAAACAACCAACTTTCTCAATCTCACCTCTTCAAGATGGGAAGGGTCTCATCCAGAATTTCTCAGAGAACCCGAGGCGGAGACATTGCAAGGATCTCCTGGTCTGTCATGGGCCCCTTCTGAGTGACACCCTCTCTGAAGGTTCGATTCTTCATCCTTGGGCTCCACAAGGGCAGAAGCCCCAAGGCCCACCTTTTTTGGGGGGGCGGTATGCCCAAAGCTGCCCCGGACTCCCCGCTCCCCTTTTTTTGGAAATGCCTGAACTGGCCTGGGGAGATGGCTGTCCCCAGCTGGCCGGCTGCCCTCCTGTGAGAGCAGAGCGGCCGGCCTAGCTTTTGTCTCTCCCGATCCTGCACTGGCTACAACAATGGGCCGGCTGCTTTTCAGAGGCCCTCCAAAGTGCTGATGGTGGTAGGTTTGCACTAATCCTGCCGGCTGGCCCTCTTTTCATACCACTGGGGTGTGTGTATGTGTGTGTGCTGCCGCTAGGACTGGCTGCTCCGCAGAACTCTGGCCCTGCACCGCTCGGGGTGCTCCCTGGTGGGGTTTGGAGCCCAGGAAGCGCCGGCGCCAGGAAAGGATGTGCGACTGCTTCACCAGGGTGTTTGGGGTCTCCTGGTCCCCTGCAGCCAGTTATGGTAAGAAGGCCTTTGGGGAGCCAGAGCGGGGAGAAGGGAGGGGGTCTCCCAGGTCCTCTGTCCCCTCCCCCCCTTAAAACCATGACCCATGGCTGCATAGGTTTGACCAAGCAGCCCTAGGTGCCAGGTAGCGCCCAGATTGTGCCAGCTTTTAGAGGGAGGGTGAGCCTTTCCCGTAGGAAGAGGAGGGTCTTTCTCAACACTGGGGTCCGAATCTCACCAAGTCCTGCTGATTTGCAGACTGATCTCTGGCTCGCTTGGCACCTGGGAAATTGTGTAAGATGGGGAGCTTGGTGGCTGGAAGACGTGGGTCTGAGGAAGGGGGCTGGTCGGGGTGGTCTGAAATGTGATACTTGTGCAGGTGGGGAGGGAGACATGAATGCTTCCCGTCCTGCCCCGTTCAGTCCTTGATCGTTTGGAAGGAAAAATGCTCCAGCCACCCACCCACCCGCCACCCCCAGGCTGCTGAGCAGTGAAGGAGCCCCGCAGTCTAGGGTGTGAAGAAGAGGTCTATGGGTGGGATGGGTGGGTGCCTTTGGCCCAAGACCAGAGTTGGGAGGGGAGGGGGCT